TGCACTGTACCGACTTCAGTGTTGGCTGCGTGAACAGTTGTGTGTTGTAGGTCTTGGGGGAGATTTAGAAATGTGTAGTTCATGTTGCCTCCGTGTAGGAGCAACTGACCTAGCTGGAAAGATTAAAATGATGATGAGCGGCGTGTAGCAATTGTACACAATCCGCCACAGTGGTTCTGTATCGTGTAGGTCCGAGGAGGCCTCGTGAAAGGCTTTTGAAAGATGGCAGGGGCAGCACGTGTCGAGCTAGCTGTAGCTCAAGCTGTGTAGACGATGATCTGGAAAAAAGGAACAGGGAGTGACCATGCAGCCAACACATAGAAAGCAGAGACTCTGGGGATGGGTGAAACCTGAGGGGATGTTACTGGAAGACATAACGGGAAGACATGACTGGGCAACATGAGACGGAGGCACTGCCAGGAGAGAAAAAACAATGGCCAAGGCCATGGGAGATGGACTACGGGTCAAGCGAGCAGAGACATGTGAGATGAGCAGCGAAGTGATAGCCACGGAAGAGTGAGATGACTGCAGGTGGCTCAGTACCGAAACCCGTGACTAATGAGCAAGTGACAGGATGCTCTCGGTTTGCCAAGGCAGGGAGGCAGTAGGTCCAGAGCAAGGAGACGCCGGAGGTGTGGAATGAGAATAAGGGACATAGTCATTCTTCTGACCATGACATTGCTCTAAAATAGAGCGTATCAATAAAGAATTTGAGGTTTGGGGAGGCCAGGAGATGAGGAGACGATTTCCATTGAAAAGGTAGTTTGTTACCCACGGTTGCCAATAGGAGGGGTCACCCCATGTCACATGGGGCATGTGGGGAAGCAGCAGGGTTAGTCACAGGCAGAGAGAGGGAGGGATTATGGGCTGTGTCTTGTGGTTTCCCCGGGAAGGAATGGGTGAGGCGGGGTAAGCAGGTTTAATTAGGATTGGCTAGTTGGAATAATTTCAGCTGGCTCTGGGGAGTGGCGGCTGTTGCTCATTACCGGGTAGATGGTGGCCTAGAATGTGAGGCCAATAAAAGAGGTGTTTGGGTGTGGACTCTGGATTGGTTGGTTTGTATTTTAAAGGTACACTCGGCAGGCGAGTTGTTCACCATCTGTAGGAATTGGCTAACCTGGGAGGGGTCGGCAAGACTCCAGGTGTCAAAACATCAGAATACAGAAAATAAAAGACATGGTGAGTACAGATATGTAATCAGCCCATAAACATTTATGGAACGCCTCCCATGCCCAGACACTAAACTATGTGCATCAGTTCATATAAACTACTAACAACAAAGTCAGCCTGCTCTTATACAGCCCTCATCTGAGTGCCAGACTTTCCACATGCTTTGTGAGCATGAACTCATTTACTGCCTGTAACAACCCTGTGAGTAAGTCCTTTGACCACCTCTGCTGAGGACACTGAAGCTCAGAGAGGTTGAGCAACTTGCTCATGGTCACACAAGTCGTAAGAACCGAGCTGGGGATTTGAACCCAGGAGTTTGG